ATATTGGAGAAGAATAAAAATATGAGCGAATATGAGCGTATCTTAGCATAACTGAATATTTGCCCTACTTTGTTTGACATGATTATGGTAATATTTTAGCTAATTCAATTACAGTGGTTCTGGTAACAAGATATAAACAAAAACATGTGAGCATTTGATGAAGGCATTAACAGCAACAAGCAATGATTCCAATTTGAGCATGTTTATCAAATAACTATCTTTTCTGTACAATATATTCAAATCAAGAACTCGTGTCTTCAACTTATTCAGCAAAACTAAAGGATCAGCACTCAAACTCTTCGGAACAATAGTAACGTAAAGGCTCTATGTAATTAGTTGATCAACATACATTTAAAAATTTCTATATAAAAGATACACTATAAAGTTTTACCTCCCTTTCTATATTCTCTACACCTCACGTAATACAAACCTGGAAAGAAAAAAAGAAGTAAAAGCCTTGTCGAGACTACATTGACCCTTCATGCCCTTTTACTGTGTTTGTTGCATGGTAATATGCATAGGTACAATACAACTTTCTGAACACATGCACCTCACCAACTTGTAGAGCAAATGGAAATGCAGCATCATTCTTCTGGCCGAAATAAAGTGAAAGTTGAACTTGTCTCTGTCTTTGGACCGGGATCGGAGGACGACGACGCCATGATTGAACACTTCAATCGAACCCAAACCAAAACAAAAAAAAAACCTAGAGAGAGAAATTGATGAGTGAGAGAGGGAGGAAGTCTGAGTGTTGAGTTGTTTTGGAGTTTTTGGGTTTTGCTTATGTTTTTGTTTCAGACTGTAGAGAGGAAAAACTACAGTGAGAGAGGAGGAGGAGGTGCGCGGAAGTACCAATTTGCCCTTGATTTGTTTTTATTATGGGGTTCGTGATGATTGGGTCTTGTAGGTTGAAAAGGTTGTAACGGCTAGGATGAGAAGTGGGGGGATTTTAGTAATTTAAGATGCTTTGAAAGTGTGTAGTGGCGTCGTCTGCGAAAGCCACATGTCTTGCAGTGCTCCATGTCTGCTGCCTCCCAAGGATCCAAAGCCTGTTAAAGAAAAACATTTTACTTTTCGTTTTTAAAAAATTAATTACATAATACTCTAGAATTCTTTTTTATTTTTTATTTTTTATTTTTTATTGTTGAAAAAGATGTTTAATTAAAAAATAATAAGCACTATAAGAGAGTACTCTCTACAATTCAATTTTAAAGTTGGAATAAAATGATCTACATCATATTAAATTTCTCAATAAAATAATTCGTTTACAAACGATATTGAGAGAAGGGAGAATTAAACCTAAGACCTCGTGCTCTAGCCCAGTGTAAAAGTGCCTTGACTTGCATATTAGAGGTCTCATGTTTGAACCCATATGACATTTTGATTGTATGTGTGTGAGAAACTCTCTTCCCTGTAGTTTAGACTATTGCATGTACTGAAAAAAAGTTTTTGGAATAAAATGATCTGCATCATATTGAATTTCTCTATAAAATTATATTTTTTTTTAAAATACAAAATGATATTAAGGGAATGGAGAATCGAACCTAAGAACTAGAGTGTATAGATAAATATTTATAATTTAGCAGAAAACTAATCTTATTTTATTATTTAGAAAAAATACTCATCCATTTTGGACTTAAAAGTACTTAAAAAAAAACCCAAACTAAGATGAGTAGCCATCTTGTATTCCCATATGGACTCACTCACATCTCAGTCGAAGGTGGCATAATTTTAACATAATTTAATACATCTTAAGTTTCTATTAGGCTTTTATATCAAAAATAAAAAATAAAAAATTCCTCTTGATTGTCCTATTCTGTTTGCTGGGACCAGATTGTCTGAAGGCCTGCTTGGCATCCTATGTTTGTGCAATAATTTGTACTGAAAATGAGGTTCCTTAATCCTAATCATCCATGACGGTTTGATGGCCAAATAACCCACAATGAAAATTATAATGTAAAAATGACTCTTTTATCTTCTTTTGTTCTTACTATTTCATCCTTTTAGCCATTTACCCATTTTGTATTAAGAAACATGATTTTTTTTTTTTTTGCTGCGGTATTAAGAAACATCATTCTACCATCACTTTAAGCCATTTCAGTTTTTTATTATTTAAAAATAGGAAACTTGTTTGATAATATTTCAAATTTAAAACAAAAACAAAAGACTCTTAGAATTTGATTTGATTTTAACAAAAAGGGAACAGGAATGCACAACCAATTCATTTCCAACCTCAGGCAATTAGTGTAGACCCTATCCAATCAGCAGTTTTAACAATCAAATCTATCATGACTACCATTCTCATCTTGCATGAGCTGTACAAAATCCGCACATAATCTTCTATGTTACATTTGGAGCTATCAAATATATCACAGACAGTTCTCGTTTAGCAGTCAGAAACTGGATATGTAACAGCCATTGTTGACTCCAGCAGTTTGTAGTTCTCGACTTTTGTTCTACTCGTCAATGAAGAGGCGGAATGAGTATC